ATAGCTATATAAAGAAAATACTGTACATAAAGAAAATACTGTACATAATCATGGGAAGTGACTAATGATTAAAATTTCTGAAACTATGTTTTCATATAGAACACTTTTTCTTTGGGTATCTATATCTATAAAATATTTGTAATATTTTTTTCAGGATGTTATTCCCATTTATAATATCCTATATGATAAAGAGGTAATATGCAAATTGACCATCACTCCAACACACAAAATGGCCACCCCTGTGTGGTCAAAGATGAACGCTCCCCTGTGGACACAAGATGGCCACCACAATATGGCCAGCAGGAGAGGGTAGTTAGGAGGGACCAGCCCTACAGGGAAGGGCAGTTGGGGGAAACCAGGCCTGCAGGGGAGGGCAGTTGGGCGGGACCAGGCCTGCAACGAAGAGCAGTTAAGAGTGACCAGGCCAGCAAGGGAGGGCAGTTAGGGGTGACAGGGCCAGAAGAGGAAGGCAGTTGGAGGCAACCAGGCCTGCAGGAGAGGACAGTTTAGGGGGACCCAGGCCTACAGAGGAGGGCAGTTGGGGAGGACCAGGCCTACAGGGGAGAGTAGTTGGGGTGACCAGGCCTGAAGGGGAGGGCAGTTGGGGGCAACCAGACCGGCAGAGGAGGGCAGTTAGGGGTGACCAGGATAGCAAGAGAAAACAGTTAGGGGTGACAGGGCCAGCAGAGGAGGACAGTTGAGGCAACCAGGCCTGCAGGAGAGGACAGTTTAGGGGGACCCAGGCCTACAGAGGAAGGCAGTTGGGGGTGACCAGGCCTGTAGGGGAGGGCAGTTTGGGGTGACCAGGCCAGCAGGGAAGGGCAGTTAGGGGCTACCAGGCTAGCAAGGGAAGGCAGTTAGGGGTGACAGGGCCAGCAAAGGAGGGCAGTTGGGAGTGACCAGGCCTGCAGGGGAGGATAGTTAGGGGCAACCAGGTTGGCATGGGAGGACAGTTAGGAGTGACCAGATCAGCAGGGGAGGGCAGTTAGGGGTGACCAGGACAGCAGGGGAGGCAGACAGGGGCAATCAGGCTGGCAGAGGAGCAGTTAGGCATCAATGAGGCTAGCAGGTGAGTGGTTAGGGAATGATCAGGCTGGCAGGCAGAAGGGGTTAGGGGCAATCAGGCAGGCAGGCAAGTGGTTGGGAGCCAGCAGTCCTAGATTGTGAGAGGGATGTCCCAGATTGGAGAGGGTGCAAGCTGGGCTGATGAACACCCCCGCCGTGCATGAATTTCATATACCGAGCCTCTAGTATATGTAAAAGAGACTGTAAGTTTCATCAATTTTTCAATATAGTTCTCAAAGTCAGATACCATATATTGTTACATTTGTTTATGCACCCATTGCATCTAGAATAAATTACACTATAAGCTAGGGGTGTCGAACTCAATCAGAGAACGGGCCAAAATCTTAAATCCTGCCTAAATCGCGGGCCTTATGGTTTACTGAACAGTCATAAACTGTCATTGTGATGGAAACGCAGCGGAGTGCAGTGATGACAGCGCGGTGCGGGCCACATTGCAAGGCCTGGCGGAACGGATTTGGCCCACGGGCCTTGTGTTTGACACATGTGCAAGCCCTCAGGAGTGACAGAATGAGTTTTCTATTATTAGATTTTCTTAGATTCATTACAATTCCAGATTGTGGTACTTAACTCACATTCCTCTACACTTCTGTAGTAAAATGCACAAAAACACTGGAGAAGAGATCTACCTAAATGTACAGAAAATTTTAAGTACAGACATATCTTAGGTTAAAAACTCAAATTACATGAACTGTTCCATAAGCCTCAAAAAACGTGGAGAAGTGATCATCACAATATAGAAACACAAAATATAATGCTGAGGAAAAATATAGAAAACACCTTATAAAAAGTTCCATGATCCAAATGTAATGTGAACTAATAATGGGTTATTTAAAATATTTAAATTTCATTTTTTAAATGACAATGTAAATATGGAATAAAAACAAAAGAAATGAGAAAATTTTTAGAGCAAGGTAATTACACAATACAACAAATCTTTACTATGGATAGAAGTTGATTATTTGTAGAGAAAAGCCAGCTAGGTCATACATTTTAAAAGAAAGTCAAAGTTTTTAAGGTTGTGAAAGACAGCCTGATGCTTTTGCTTGGGCCCAATACTGTGTAAGAGATCACATTTCTGTACAAATATAGTACCAGTGTTTTTCAACCAAGTGCTATTACAACATTTTCCAAAATCAATTAACTTAGAAATAGTTGGAAAGCACTTGTACCATTGAAATATTTAACACCATCTGAGAACATTCTCCTTCTGCAATATTCTAGAAAGATTGGATTGAGAAAATATCCAGAACCAACAAATGTTTTAGCCTTCAAAACTAATCAACATAAACCAACAAGAACCAGATAAGGAAAAAACTTATATCTATCCCCCATAAGTTGTAATTCTCATATCAAAGATTTGTACTTCATTACTTCCAGTCCACAGCCTCTCTTTAACTCCATCCTATATCCCTCTCAACCATATCATGCAAGCAACAGTGGCTCAGTGGCATTTTTAACCTCAACTAGTAATTTACATCAGCCCCTAAAATGTACAAACTAAACAAAGCAAAGCCCTTTATTGCAAAAGGAGCTGCAAAACCAGAAGCCTGAAGGCATTATTCCAAATAAGTTGCTACCCTTTTCCCCTACACATGGTGCTTTGTTAAGAGTATAGTACAGTGGTAGAGGTATAGATTTGGAGGCAGGTTATATACATATTTGTAAATTTTGACAAGTGACAGAATATTTTTTAAAAAATACTAATAAGGAAATAGACAATTTGAAAATGTATATAGCTGATAGAAATTTAAATTAGTTCCAACCATCTTGGAAGGCCATTTAACTAGAAGTATCTAAAAACTTAAATGTATACAATTTGACCAAGAAATTTAATTATGAATGGTATTTATTTAATATATTCTAGGAAAATAACAGGTTCAGTATGAAAGAATGTATGTACACAAATGTTTTCTACAGCAATTTATATAATAGCAAAATTCCTAAATGTCTACTGATTAGTAAAATTAGTATGCTACAATCATGACAAGAAATAACATGTAAACATCAAACAAACAGTCTTAAAAATGGCAAACAGTCACATTTACTTGGATAGAAAAACATTCATGATAGGTTATTATGTAAAAATGCAAATCACCAAATAGTAGAAAGAGAACAATCACATTTGCATTTTTAAAAATTTAATCACATAATTAAGAGAAAACACCCTGAAATAATATACCCAAAAATGTTAAACAATTACTACCTCTAAGTGATGGGATTAAAGGTGATTATTCATTTCTTCTTTGTAAATTTATCTTCTCAGTTCATTACAATGAGCATTATTACTTTTACAAGCTGAAAACAAATGTTTTTTATATTTTGATTAAAAAAATTAATAGTAGTAAATCTACACAAAGCACACAGATAACTGATAATTATGTAAGTCCATGTATGGATTTGGATATACCTACACATCTAATCTCAGCTCTGTAAGTACACACCTTAAGTTTTGACTTCGAAAAATTAGCACTTCTTCTAATTGTAATTTGGACTTTTTTAGGATTTCAAAAGCAATGAGGGATATCTGTGCCATCCCAATAGAACCAATACTGCTCCAACATTGTACATTTTTTTACTTTGCTTTGCAATTGTAACTAAATTACAATTTTGTGAATGTGTAGTACTGTAATGGACCTTGCCTTTTGAGTTCCTGCCACCTTCCACACCCCAAAAAATACTATAACACTATTATAATAAACTGCCTGAAGTTCATAAGGAAAACCACAGCAGAATGCAACTTCTTTAACATCTTCAGAAAGGAATAATTATCAGTGAAGGCCCCAGGAAGTGAGGGGGAAACATCAAATAGAGTTATTCAGACCAGTCTGGCTCTTCTCTTCTTTCAAATATTTCCACCACAATACTACAGGGAAGATGAACCTCAATACACAATAAGATCGGAGAAGTTTTTAAATTATTTAAATTACATAAGAATTCATAATTTAGTAATTTAATAATGAACTTCATATTAAATATGAACTTCATATTAAAGTTATAACATTTTGGTTTTACCCATTCAGGTTAGAGTTACAGATGGGCAGCAATATGCCAAACTAACTATAAGAATACTAAAACATGCCCTAGCTCAGTGGTCGGCAAACTCATTAGTCAACAGAGCCAAATATCAACAGTACAACGATTGAAATTTCTTTTGAGAGCCGAAAAACCAAGTTCTGTGCATGGACCACGAAGTTTCATTTGCATTGTACGTGCGCGCCCGCATGTGGCTCACAAGTCGCAGTTTGCCGACCATGGTTTGGCTCAGTGGATAGGGCATTGGCCTGTGAACTGAAGGGTCACAGGTTTGATTCTGGTCAAGGGCACATGCCAGGGTTGTGAGCCCAATCCCTAGTAGGGGGCGTGCAGGAGACAGCCGATCAATGATACTCTCTCATCACTGATGTTTCTACCTCTCTCTTTCCCTCTCGTTCCTCTGAAATCAAAAAAGAATATTAAGACATTCAAATTTCATAAAATTTGAATAGTGGTCAGACAAAAAAAGTGCTTGAAATAAGTCAGAGAAAAACATATATGATCTCACTTATATGTTGAATCTAAAAAGAAAACCAAACTCACAGAAACATAGTAAACTGGTGGTTGGTTGCCAGAGTAGGGAGAATGAGTGAAGGTAGTCAAAGGGCACAAACTTCCAGTTATAAGTTCTGGGGATATAATGTACAGTATGCTAACTATAGTTAACAATACTTAATTGTATACGTGAAAGTTGCTAAGAGAGTAAATCTTAAAAGTTCTCACGACACAAAAAAGTAATTATCTGAGGTAATGGATATATTAACTAACACATAATCATTTCACAGCACATCCATATACCAAATCATCATATTATACGCCTTAAGCTTATATATTACATGTCAATTATAGTTCAATAAAGCTGAAAAAGTTGAAGTACTTACCACTAAGTCCCAATTATTTTGTTCAAGCAATGTAATAGCTTCATCAATGTTTTCAATGCCAGTACATGCCTGGAAACAAAGCAAATAAGAATTTTATATGTAATTTTGGGACCGGGGAGGTTAATTAATCTTAAAAAGTAAATAGCATAATGAATAATTTAAGTCTGAATAGGTATATTAATAAAGCCAAATACCTAGCACTTCTGAACATTTAAGGCTAGAAAACTGCTAATTACACAGTAAATTTACATTACAATGAAACGAAAGGTTGGTTCTTCAAAAACATTAACTACATTGACAAATCTTTAGTCAAATTGACTTAAAAAATAAAACTGAAATTACTAAAATCAGACATGAAAGTGGGGATGTTACTGCTGACCTTAAATAATAAAAGTATAAAAATAATACAATGAACAATTATGTGAAAACCACTTAAATAACGTAAAGGAAAATTTCCTAGAAATACACAAACCACCTAAAAAGACTCAAGAACAAATTATAACAAAATATTACATCAGAATTTAAAAGCCTTCCAAAAAGAAAAGTCGAGGACTAGAGGGCTTCACAGTTAAATGTATCAATCATTTAAAGGAAAATACCAATCCTTTATAACTCTTCCAAAACACTGAAAAGGAAACATTTCCTAAATCATTCTGAGGCCAGCATCACCCTATAAACAAAGTCAGATAAAGAAAGCTCAAGAAAACTAGAGATTCAGTATAGAGAAATCATTACACCACATTCATAGATTGAAGGGGAAAACAACAACAACACATGATCAGTTCAAATGACACCAAAAAACCCAACAGCTTTTCATATTAAAAATGCTTAACCTATCAATAAAAGGGTACTTCTTTAGCATGATAAAGCACACTTATGAAAATCCCAAAAGTAAAATTATATTCAATAATGAAAGGCTAAAAGCCTTTGCTCTAAGACAAGCATGTCAAACTCAAAGGCTAACATGGGCCAAATAAGCAAGGTTTAAGTTTATATGGGCTGTAAAAAAAACAAAAGCTTCAATTTTCATAGAAACGTAGGTTTATTTCGATAAGAACCTTCTGAAACAAAGGGCTGAAGTAAATGAGTAATCGTTAACATAAAATAATAGGACATTTTAATAAAAATTAATATTTTTTTCTTGAACATTAACTTATCAGACACTGAATAACTGCACAAATAAATAAGCGTAACACAAATAAACCCATTTTTCTTGTTCTCCAAAAGCAAAATATTTCCTGTTGCTCACACCAAACAAGTCAGTGCAAGACTAATGACATGGTAATCGGCTATTAAAATATTTGCTGCTATTATTAGTGGAGGGAAATGGTGTGCCTGCAAGTAAGGGAAATGAATGTAACACGATTATAGTATTCAGTCATTAGCAAGCATTGTGGTTCATTATTAATAATTAGGTATAACAGAATATAGTAAAAGTTAAGTTATAAAATTTTTATTAAAACATTTCTTAAATTAAAAAAATCAATAAAAATATATATTTAAAAAAGAAAAATAAAATTAAAAAAAACATTTCTTACATACCGTTATATTGGCTGGCCACAAAAGATATTTGTTGTGGGCCACATGCAGCTTGACATGCTTGCCTATGAGCAGGATCAAGAATGCCCACTTTTGGCACTTCTAATACATCATATTAGAAATTCTAGCCAGATCAATTAGGAAAAAAAAAAAATTTTTTTTTTAAATAGAAGTAAAACTAAAGAATAAACTAGCTAAGAATAAATTTAACCAAGGAATAATAGACTTGTTTTCACTATTCTGGGCCCCTTATAATTCTGAATGAATTTGAATTTGAGGGTCAGCTTTTTCATTTCTAAAAAATGGCTCTGGGAAGCTATAATCAATTTTGAGTCCTAAGAATAGTTGCTGTTGCTTGGTTCGTTATGAATGTATGAAAAAATTCTTCTGTTTATATGTAGAGTTAAATTAGGTTCTTTTAAATCTATGACTGGTTGCCTCCACCCCATGAAGGGAAGGGGGAGCCAGGATGAAGCCTTCAACCAAGATACATGCCCTTGACCGGAATCAAACTTGGAGATCCTTCAGTCCACAGGCCAATGCACCCACCACTGAGCAGAAACCAGCTCTCCAACATCTCCTGAGGGGTCCCAGATTGTGAGGGTGCAGGCCAGGCCCACCAGTGCACAATCAGGGCCCAGGAGGGACATGGGAGGTTGGCCAGCTTGGGAGGGACTGCAGGAGGGCACTGGAACGTGTCTGGCCCATCTCGCTCAGTCCCAATCAGCAGGACTCCAGCAGCAAGCCAACCTACTAGTCAGAGCATCTGCCCCCTGGTGGTCACAGGGACTGGTTGACCAGTTGACTGTCTTCCCCCTGGTGGTCAGTACATGTCATAACAAACAGTTGAGCGGCCTTAGCATATCCTTAGATACTAGAGGCCCAGAGCAAGAAATTTGTGCATGGGGGGAGGTGTCCCTCAGCCCAATCTGCACCCTCTCTAATCTGGATCTCTCCAGGATGTCCAACTGCCTGTTTAGGCCTGATCCTACCGGGATCATCCCTCTCACAATCCAGGACTACTGGCTCCCAACTGCTCACCTGCCTGCCTTCTGGATTGCCCCTAACCACTTCTGCCTGCCAGCCTGATCACTCCCTAACCACTCTCCTGCCAGTCTAATTGATACCTAACTGCTCCCCTGCAGGCCTGGTCACCCCTAACTGCCCTCCACTGGAGGCCTAGTCACCCCTAACTGCCCTTTCCTGCAGGCCCAGTTGCCCCCAACTTCCATCCTCTGCAGGCCTGATCCCTCCCAATTGCCCTCTCCTGCAGGTTTGATCTCCCCAACTTCCCTCCTCTACAAGCCTGGTCCCTCCCAAATGTCCTCCCCTGCTGGCCATCTTGTGGTGGCCATCTTGTGTCTACATGGGGGTAGCCATCTTGTGTTGGAGTATATGGTCAATTTGCATATTACTCTTTTGATTGGATAGAGGTCTGGTGCATAGGTGGGGGCCAGCTGGTTTGCCCTAAAGGGTGTCCCTTGGGGCGTGGGGCAGCCTGGGCGAGGAGCCTTTGGTGGTTTGCAGGTGGGCCATGCTCCCCTGGCAACCCAAAAGAGGCCCTGTATCTGGGATTTATTTATCTTCTATAATTGAAACTTTGTAGCCTTGAGTGGAGGCCAGAGCCAGCCAGGGCAGGTGAGAAGATTGGCTTCCTCCATTGCCGGGGAAACCCAAGCCTCCTGCTCACTCTATGGCCATAGCCATCTTGGTTGGGTTAATTTACATACCCACTCCTGATTGGCTGGTGGGTGTGACAGAGGTACAGTCAATTTGCATGTTTCTCTTTTATTAGTGTAGATTATACCTTGATTGGTTGAACCAATTACCGGACAATCAGCATATTAGGCTTTTATTATATAGGATTGTTTTAGATCTTTTATTTATGTCTTTGATCCATTTTGAGTTAATTCTTATGTATATTGACAAATAGTCTAGTTTCATTCTTTTGCACATGGCTTTCCAATTTTCCCAGCACCATTTATTAAAGAGGCTTTCTTTTCTCCATTGTATGTATGTTTTTGGAGCCTTTGTGAAAAATTATTTGCATATATATATATATATATATATATATATATATATATGGGTTTACTTCTTAGCTCTCAATTCTGTCTCATTGGTCTGTTTTTCTGCCAATATCTTACTGTTTCAATAATTGTCACTTTGTAGTATAATTTGAAGTCAGGTAATGTGATACCTCTGGCTTTGTTCTTTTTTCTCAGGATTCCTTTGGCTATTTGGGGTCTTTTGTCATTCCATATAAATCTGATGATTTCTTGTTCTATTTCTTTTTTAAATGTCATTGAAATGTTGATAAGGATTGCATTAAGTCTGTATATTGTTTTGGGTAAAGAGGCCATTTTAATAATGTTGATTCTTCCAATCCATGAACACAAAATATCTTTTCATTTTTTTGTGTCTTCTTCAATTTTAATAATGTCTTAGTTTTTAGTATCTGGTCCTTCACATTCTTTAGTAAGTTTTTTTAAGGAATAAATTTCTGATACATGCAATCAGTTGGATAACTCTCAAAAACATTATATTAAGTGCAAGTAGGAAATACAAAAAAAAGTATATGCTACATGATTCAATATAAATGATAGTCAAATCTGGGGAAAACTAATCTATGGTGACAAAAAAAGAGAACTGACATGAAAGAGACATGAAACTTTGTAGGAAGATTTGTATCTTAAATGGAGTTCTGGTTTCATCAGTATACTAGTACTTTTGTTGAAATTTATCAAACTGTACTCTCAAGATCTGTGCATTTTATTTTATAAAAGCAAACCCTGACAATAGCAAAACAGGGTACTGATGAGTGATAGGTCTCCCTAACCCCATTTCACTTCATGCCTTCATTTATTCATTCAACAAATATTAACTGAGTACCTAGGTGCTGGGGATACAATAAAAATATAGAAAACACTGCTCTAGTAAACATGCATTGGAAAGGGACTACACAGTCAATAAACAAGATAAACAGTTTAAATGTACATATGGACTTACAAGAGTAATAAATAGAGATTTAAAGCAGGGAAGAGGGATATGAAACATTGGGAAGAGATTAAAATTTTTGATAGGCCAGGGAAGACCACTAAAATAACTTTTTAACATCTATGACTTGACTATAGTAGTATCTATGAAATATGATCGGATGTGTCATTATGACAATTCTGAACCTAGGCCTTTAAAAGTATCATGAGTTTCTGCTTGCCCTGTTACATTTCTTTGTTATCATTACACATGCAAAAATAGGTAATTACTAGGTTACCTGCAATCCCTTAAAAGGACCTGAGAATGAAATTGCATGGAACATATCTGAGCTCAACCTGCTCTGGAGCCAAGTACAACAAGACCTATAACTTGAATCACAGCCACCTAGACAAACAGCTTGGATCAATCAACTCACAGCAATGACTGAATGAGAGTCAATTATTGTTTTAAGACACTGAGTTACAGGTGGTTTGCAGCTCAGTAATAGCATTAGCTTGGAGTTAAATACTATGTTTGGAATGTAAATTTTTTAAAAA